AAAATAGGTAAGTCGACAATTGGCCATTTTACAGTTGTGTACTGAATTGCCGCGCCTTTGATTTGGAGTGAGGCTGAGGGTGATCTTGTTGTGATAGAGACCAGTATCTTGTTAGCATGATCACAAAGTAATCTACATTTGAATAGCAGCAACTTTTGTATCATAACATGGACGTTCATTTGCCTCACTCCCGTGAGAAGGCTTGGCAACCAAACCTACAACTGTAAAATGGACTATTGATAACGCACCATTGTCGTCGAATCCATGAGTGACCTCGTGACCAATCACCATACCAATTCCACCATAGTTAAGATATCTGACAAAAAAAAAAGTTACTATTACTTTTAACTTGTAATCCTATCGTATTCTTATCCTTGTTTCTCTCTCTAACGCAATCTTCATCGCGGCATCGCGACGAGAGTTACCGGAATACAAGTCTCTAAGTTATGTTAAGTTCAGTGCCAATTTTTTATCGCAAGAAGTTTCTAAGTTTTTGTTTTTATTGAAATTCTAGGGCTAATTTTTATCCTAATTATCTTATCTCTTTCACGAGTTAACTAGGTAAATAATGAAGGCGGCTTATTTTAAGGAATCTCGTGTTCTGTTTTGAGCTGTCCTAAAATTGATTGAATTGACTTGTTGAATGAAATTTGTTTGGAATTTGTATTCAAGATTAAAGATTAAAGCTGAGGCTAGCTTGTCCGTTTTACATGTACATAACTAAAAGATTAGGAAGAAAAGTTTGGTTGCAGACTCAAAGTGTAAGGTTCGTAATAAAAGTGTCTAACAACAAAACCGACAGCAAACAACAAATAAGCATTATAACATACTTGGGGTAATTTGGGTTGTAGAAAGGTGGTTGTAGAATGGCCGCTAGGAAAACTGAAAATAAAAGTTGTGGTTTTATATCATTCCCATTCTTAATAAATGACTTGAAAGTTCTCAAGCAGTGCGTAGAACCTCGACTAACTTGAATTCGGTGCAGTCAAGGATTCAGTTAAATCAGACGCCCTTGATGGGCTCCCGTTTAAATTCCTTAATCTTAACCTATATAAGAAAATACGAAAACATCACTTGAAAACGAAACGTGCTGATTCAAAAGGAATCACTGAAGATTCAAAGGAGCGTGCATCTATTCTATACCAGATCGAGTGAGAGGGAGCCGGGGGCATTTTATGTAATTGTTCTCTAACTATCATTATCTCCCACCATAAATTCCAAAATAGATTAACAAGGTACGTATCGCTCCCAAAAAATTAACTTTAAAGTTCCCACCAACGCTTCTCGTTTCTTTTAAGGAAAGGTATACTACAGAAACTATGTAATTCGTGCTAAGAATAAATACATACCACTACAGAAATGACATTGAAGAAAGATGTTTTCAGTCATGTCACGATAATGGGACAAAGAATTTTTCTGAGTCCTCATGACCTTCAGATTCCTCGCTCCCAGGCCTTACCTCTGAGCCACAGGTGAGCTAGGTCATTGCTAAGTGGTCACTACAAATGAAAACTTAAGTACCTACAAGGTACTAGTAACTTGAAAAGTATAAAAAGACTTGGAAACTTGCCGATTCGGTTTTGCCTGGGTGAGTAGTAGCCATTTACTTGGGATGGGCCCATGAACCATCTAAAGTTGTAAAGAAAGAGAAAGAGCTGTCAAAAGACAAGTCCACCGACTTTGATCAAGTTTACCTGAAAGAAATTTGAGATCATAAAATAGGTCGTGGTTATTCATCGTGGTAGATAAGACGTTTGACGATGAGGTCGTACGCGTACTCAGTCGACCTCGACGCCTAAAGAAGACCAGCAGTATGCGGTCGAAATGTCGCAACCACACCCGAAGCGGCCACGTCGTGAGACAAACGATCGCATTTCTCTTTCAAATTTGAGATCACTCAGCATTTTCAACAACCGCTCTTGCCGAAGTAGCATGGGGCTCTTAGATACAAAGGAAAATGGAGGAGAGGGAAGGAAAGAAGATTTTCCTGTCTGGTCTCTATCCACAGGCTTGTCCAATAAACCGTATGTTTCTTCTGCTACAAACGTTAGAGAGTTCTTTATATTTCGGTTTCTTCTCTATTCATTTATACCCGGAGGAGAACAGAGGAGAAGAGCTATTACTTACTGGTCTCTATCCACAGGCTTGTCCAATGAACCGTATGTTTCGTCTGCTACAAACGTTAAAGCGTTCTTTGTATTCTCAAAGAGATATTCACCAACTGTAAGCTGTGAAAGAAAGAAAAATTGTAAAATAGCGAGAACACTTTTCGTGTGAACGTCCTGAAGCAAATAAGGTCAAAAAAATGGTACAAATGCTAAATAGCTGAATTTTTTCTGAATACAATTTCAATAAAAGAGCGAGTGAGGACAATTCTTTTATTTTTAATCTTTAAGAACAATACTTTACTCAAATATTTATTGTTGAGAAAGCAAAAGTTTTCTTTTCTTCTTTTTTAGAAAGGAGACAGAAATAAATTAGCCATTATTTTTTAACTCTAGATCCCTGAAATACTAAGAAAACAAATCATTAGGAAAAAAACCGAAAAAAAAAGATTTTTTTTCTTTTTTCAGATATAGAGAATGATTGCAGGTAATTGCATTCTAGTTTCTGTGGGTTTTTATTTTTATCATTTTGTGCCACAGCGGCCTTCTCCAAACCGATGGATCTCAGGGGGAATCCTTTTTACTCAGAAGGTTCCAAAAATTATGTCTGCATTGACAACTTACATCTTTAATTGTTGTGTAGTATCGCTGAGTATTTTTATGAGTCAAAATAGATACAACAAGTAAAAATACTCAGCGATACGACACAACAAAACGTTTAATAAGAGATTTATTATCCAACACACCAAATTGTTATTTCAGTGCGGGCTAGTTTCGTGGATATTTATTTACGGGGAGTTCGT